TGTAAGCATGTGAGTGCCAATGAATATGATTTATTGATTTCTTGTCAATTAATTAACTTGGTCAACGAGTTAATTGGTGTTGAGGAAATTATAGAGTCTCGTGTTAATTAAGATTTAGAGTCCTTATTCTGTGCAACTAATCAAGAGACATTATGTGGTTAGACAAGAAATCAATATCAATTAGAACTATGATGTTATCATAATATGATTTGACAAATCCCTACTAATTAGTAATAGCTTGGATTAATGGGAGTCTTATCACTATATGTAGGTAGTCTCTACTTTCATAGACTATACGTTCAATTCCAAGTAACCCCTATGTAGGCAGTCCCTACTTTTATAGACTATACGTTTCATTCTGAGTAACCCGTATTATCGCTGGAACACTTCCGCTTGCTGAAAGTAGAAGACTACCCCTTCTACTTTCAACCTTAATAACCACAGAGAAATGGGTTAAATGTAGTTTACTGAGTTCGTGAATTTCAGACTGGTGGCCCCTTCTATCATTTGTACTGGAAAGAGAGACATCACCCTTTCTTTCTGTGAACTTGCAACTTATGAACTTCCTTCTCCAGAAGATAACTTACGGCAGACGATTGCATCCTTTGCAGCAAGGGCATTTGATGAAATAGAAACTGTTAGCCTCTTCGTATTCATCCTTCTTGTGCTCTTCTGTATTGGTTATGACTGTTTCGGTGGCTCGGTTTTATGTTTTCATATATTTGCCTTAGCTAAATTTTCTTTGCTTTGTAAGACGTACGTCTGCTTAGGAAATGGTATTTTCTTGTCATAGTGTGGTCGTTTCCCTTCTTTGTTTTTGAAAGGAATAGCTGCATCTCTAAGTATGAGATATCAAGTCTTTGTTTCATCTATTTGTTTTCAAGTGCTCACAATCACAGCATTGGAGTGATCCACTGCAAATTCTTTGAAAACCATATCTGCAACTTCAGTGGTACTCATAAGCCTGACCCATCTTTGGATGTTGAGTTCCTTCACCTTATGAGATCAAGATGCAACTACAGTCACTCAACACCTGCTTCAGCATAAAAACCTCATTCTTGTGACTTTGTGTCATCACGAAAAACACCATTTCGGTTCCATAAAGACCTACAGCGATCCTCATTCGAGGAGGCATAATTGGCAATGGACAGTGAGGGACCTAGATCAGCTACTGGAATCTTATGCAAGGCAAAGGAATCCTCTATGCTGATCAACAGTTAACGATTAGGGAAAAAACTTGGAACTGGGTTAGAGCATGGCTTTTGATGCCTACTTGTTTTGTTGTGACTTTGCCATGGCAATGATAAAGCTCTTAGACCTCCAAGTGTTGATAACACCAATGGGTCAGATCTGGCTCAATTGTTCAAAAGTGGTATGATAGGAGTTATGAAGCATGGATACTTGTTCAGGCTCCAGAAATTGTTCTGAATTATGTAAAAAGTTTGTTTAATACCTGAAACAGATTAACTAAGTCGTAATTCATATTGTTCTGCAGTAAATCTTATTAATGCAGGTTTTCATTGATAAGAATTCATCAAACAAACAATATTGGATTTAAAAAAGTGTTGGAAGGCTAAAAAAGTGAAAACCAAAACCGAATACACACAGTAATCACAAAGCGGAAATGGAAACATAATGTGGGAATGAACAATAGATCTATTTGCACAATGGAAAAACTCACAACAGATTTGTCTACAACCTAATCGAGCCAAGTCTCTTTGATCCCAGTTTCTACTTTGAATTATTCACGCTGATAGACGTTGGTGGAATGGAGAAGTCTGTGTACATATCCAAGAAGAACTTGTCCACGATATCAAGGTAGGCTGGACTTTTGAGACAGAAGTAGTAGTGAAACGCCTCTTCTACATCCAGCACTTGTTCCATATCACTTGAATCCACCATTTCAAATTCCTTCATCCTCCTTGCTAAAGTATAGCTTTTTGCATTTGCGTTCTGCGAAGATGCCCTAGCGTCTCCTTTTCGTAGATGAGAACTCCCAGCCTGCTTTTTCTGCTTTAACCCCCCTTCTTGTTTAATCTTCTTAGGACTACATTGATCTTCTTCCTTTGTTGGTTCTTTCGCCGCACTATCTATCTTCGCCACCTTATCTAGAGTGGACTCCCACTCCTCATAAAAATCGGGATAGAAGTGATCTGTTTGCTGATATTTGAGGTCTCTCCCACAGTGGAAGGGATTGAAGGAAATGGTTTTGGGCAGTTTCTTGTACCCTCTAAAGAAGAAGGACTTGAGGTTTGCTAGAGTTTTTTGAAAGAATTTTTTGCTTCTGTCAATGGTTTTCTGTAGCACCATTTCTGGCTCTACTGAGGTACATAAATGCTTATTCCTCTCTTTTGCCTCACTCTCTCAAATCTACAAAGAAAGACAAAACTCTAATCTCATTTGCCCTCATCTCTCTCTCTCTCTCTCTCTCTCTCTTTCTCTCTCTAAAAGACTAAAACTATTGACTAAATGAAGATATAAGATGAGAGATGAGAAGGTCTTGCTTTCTTAGAGATTGAAAAATTCAAGTTTGGCATTTTATTTGGTGATGGAAAAATAGGTTAATTCAAAAGATAACAAAAAGTGGGATTTACCGGAATGGAGGTCTTGATTTTTGTTGGTTTTAACTCCTTGTTGTATAAAGTGCAGTGGCATTGATTAAGATGCAAAGTCTAGTGGCATTGATTAAGATGCAAAGCTAAAGCCTAAAGCCTAAAGTTAAAACTGTTATTTAATTATTCTTTGTTTGTTACACAAATTTAGGAGATTTCTTTTTTACCTACGTGGTCTTTGTTCATCATCACAGAGGTTTGTCCCACACTCATAACATATATAACATTGCTCCCAAAACACTTTTACATTTGATTGCTAATTTGCAATTCAAGTGGTTCAGATTCACCTGTTTATTCACTAAAATTCTTTGATTTATATTTTTGCACAAAGTCTTTCTATATAGAGGAGTGTTAGGATCAGTCGCACGTGCACACATGCAACTCATGGCCATTCATATTTTGTGGTACACAAGTATGAAAGATTAAGATCAACTCATGCGCACATGCACAACTGATCCTAACATTTCTCCTAGATCAATAATCGATTAGTTCTAATTAGCAAATTAATCCGGGATTCGGTGCCCCTTAACAACCAATTAGCACCACAATTTGGAGTAATCCTTGTTCCAATTATATAAGCATGAGGTGGTGCATGGTCCCCTTTGCAAGTTGGTATCATGATGTGGTGATATGAAGATAAGATGTCATTTGGAATTATGCAGACTCAGGTCATTTTCTCATGGTTGCCATGCTTTAAAACCAAAACCTTTCCACCCCCACACTTCAAAATCTGTTGCAGTTTGCAGAGGAAATGGTAAATGGTGTTGTCCTTCTTTAGAAGCTAAACGCACAAGATTGTGACTTTGGAATGACACAAAATATGGTTGCTAAGTCCCAAAAGCATGCGATTGTATATGTTTAGTAGGGGTGTGCATCAAACCTACTGAACTGTCCAAACCGGTCAATTCAAACCGTTTTGGTTGGTTTGGTTAGATTTTGACTAAGAAAAAAGTTAAGGAATTTAAAAACAGAACATAACTGATTTTATGTTGGTTTGGTTCGGTTTTGATCCTTTTAAAACCGACTATACTAAACCAAATCAACTATTTTTTAATTTTAATTATTTTACACATGTCAACATATTATAGGTTATTTGGATGTCTAACCATACATATATTAGAAGTGTTAACATATTATAAGTTGTAATGACTATTAACAATTAGGAGATTTGTTTTGTATTTTAGGCTTATGTGAGATTGTAATAATAAAATTTGCTAACATGAGATTTATTTTAATTGAAATTTAGTCCTTGTTCACAAAATGACATTTTATGTTCCAAAAACTTAATATTTTAATCGAATTGGAATGTGTGAGATTTATAGAGGTTTAGAAAATTCAACTCTTGAAATATTGGACATTTTTATATTGATGTGTGGGGAATAGGCTTAAACAACCCGAACCAAACCAATTAACTATGGTTTGGTTTGGTTCGGTTTCAATGGTAATATTGGTCGAAGTCAAACCAAATCATTGAATGCTAATCTGTTTGGTTATATATTTGGTCCGAACTTGATTTAAACTAAACCGCGCCGACCTTTCAGGGTTTATTCGGAGAGTATCGACCTTAGGATTTGGGAACAAAGATAAATACTCTTAACAAACAGCCATAATTTATTTTATCAAATATGTTTAGTGCCATATTTTAGATCCTTGCTGGGAGAAGGATTGTCACAGAAACTAGATCATTAGATATATCTGTGCCATTTGAGTCATCTTATGGTTTTGATTTCTATGACAACCAAATTAGATCATTAGAACGGTTTTGATTTCGGTTTCAAACCATTTGCAAACTTGCTAAATGCTCTATGCCATTAATACAAGCCCAATTGAAAAAAAAATTCATTACCCTACTGAAAGGAATATATCAACCTCTCTATATAATTATTTATATGTGCTTGCTAGAAATCCAGAACCTAAACACAACTCTATATGATAAGGACCTGGGAAGGCAACAACTATATATGTTACTATTAATGCATCAAAATGGTGTTACTTAAAATAGACAATTCAATTAATCTGGAGACTAATATTTAACCATACAGACCATACATTTACATCTAACTGTTGCAAATTTACCCCAAAAGAGATTAGACACTATGACATAACACGATTACTTGTAATTTTTTGTTAATTTTTGCGGTGCGCTTCGATTCTGGTTCAGCTCCAAATGTTCAAAACCGAAACCAAGTTGTTTTTTTTTAAGACTGCAATTTAGTTTTGAAACCAAAAATATTTCAAAATCATGAAAACCAAACCATTCAAAGCGATCCTATTTGATTCATCTTTCGATTTCAGTTTTCATTTTCAAGCGTCCACCCCTAATTTTGGGTGTCCAAGGGAAAGCAAAGCCCAAAATAGCCGAAACCACACAAACGGGCCTCAGGCTAGAGGCACACAGCGGCCCAGGCTGAGCACGCCATCGACTACCCTAAAACCCTCGTCATCTTTCACACCACATATAAAGCTTCCTCATCCCGCCGCTCGCATCTTTAGCCTGAAGACCTCCATCGCACGAGCTAGGGTTTCTCTCTCTGCGCACAGCCATGGTACCTCTCTATCTCTCTCTCATTGTCCCTGTGTATTCCGTTGTACTCGGTTATGGTAGATCTTGTAGTGAACTGATTGCGTTTGTTTATCTGTATGCGTAATTCGAAAACAGGGGAAGGGAACAGGGAGTTTCGGTAAGAGGAGGAACAAGACCCACACCCTCTGCGTCAGGTGTGGCCGTCGCAGCTTCCATCTTCAGAAGAGTAGGTGCTCTGCTTGTGCCTTTCCTGCTGCCCGCAAGAGGAAGTGTATGTATTCCCACCATTCTCTCTCTCTCTCTTTATACGTATACATTTATATATATATATGTATGTATGTATGTATGTATGGATCTCTGTTGGTCTTCCCATGAATCTGGGTCGATGATTTGAAGTTATAGTTTGCATTTTTGCTAAGATACATGATTACCCAGAAAATGAATTATTGATTTTGATGGTCAGTTCAGCAGACAGGTGTTTGTTTAGGATTATTTGTTTTAGGGTTTAATTGCTATGGTTTTTGTATGTTTCAAAATAGACAACTGGAGTGAAAAGGCGATCCGAAGGAAGACCACTGGAACTGGAAGGATGAGGTATCTTCGCAATGTGCCACGCAGATTCAAGAGCGGCTTCAGAGAAGGTATTAATCAGATCATTTTGTGGGATTTTTAGGTTGTCACTGTTTTTTGTTCTCTATTTGGTTCCTTGGTTTGAGTTTTGTGCTTATATCGATATTTGTATTGGGTATTTTGTTTTGAACAGGTACCGAAGCTGCACCAAGGAAGAAGGGAGCAGCTGCAACTGCTTAAGCCTTCCCAGTGCTCGTTTTGATTGCGATTTGGGATACTCAACTACAGCTTTAGAAAGCGATTACGACTCTGGATAAGTTCTATATGAATGCTGTTATTGTTTTTGATGGATGTTGTAACTTTTATTGCTTTAGTTTTGATCTTTCTTTCCGCGTTGGACAAGAATGGATGAGACTAATGTCACTTGCCTTTCAGAGTTGTCTAATGTTTTGATGTTGTGCGGTGTCTTTTTGTTTTTTGCGTTTGCGTTTTGGTGCTTTTTGGTATACGTTTGAGCAACATTGTGCTGGTCTTTTGTTTCCAGTCGTCTAGTGAGCCTGAAATGCTATTGAGATTGGGAAATTGTGTTGACAGGATAATAGGCTGATGTAATGTAGGTTTTGGGCCCATCTTTTTCCATATGTAGTTTGTCTAATGTTTCTATTAGAATTCCATCGAAGGGTTTTAGTTAGGGCTGGTTTGGTATTGCTATGCTTTGAAAAAAAAAAACTGCTTCTGTGCTGTGAGAATACGTAGTTGTGAAATAAAGCAGCAGAGTATTCAGTAAATTTTTTTTTTTTTAAAGTGCTTTTGAAAAAAAAAATATGCAATATTATAGTGTTTGATAAACTTTTATGTAAAACAGATGTGCAAAAAAACCTGTTTTTCAAAGTTGGGTTTTGCAGCTTTGTGTTTTTGGCTTTTTTTCACCCGAAACTGTGAAAAAAAGTTGAAGCTGAATGTTTACCAAACATAAAAAAGCTTCCAGCATTTTTTGATAATCATTTTTTTCAGAATCACTTAGTACTAGACTAGGGTTGAGTCTCAACCAGCGTCTTGAACTGTAAACACACGCCCACCCCCCTTCCCCCCTCTCTCCATTATTCTTATCTTTTTTCAGGATGCGGATGCTCATGGTTAAACTGCATGTCCTTGCACTTGCTAGGAAGATCAACATCCTAAACCAATAGGTTGTTTGGGGACTGTAGTGTGATTTGTCTTTCAAGTTGTACGAGAATTTATGCAAGTGCTTTTGAGTTTTATCGGTATTTTAGGGTTTGTTTGGATGTGATCTTAAAATAACTGAAAGTGTTTTTAGAGAAAATGTTTTTGGATTCCAAAAGTTCTTGAAGTGCTTTTTGCAAGAAGTATGAATTATGTGTTTTTTCCAAGAAGTACTTTAAGTGCTTTTTTAGAATTCACTTGCATCTTTACTAAATATTGGTTTTAAAAATGTTTTCATCAAAAGCGTTTTTAGTCATTTTAAAAGTACATCTAAACGAGCTTCTAGTTTTTGTAAAATCTAAGAAAAAGAATTGTTCTGACAAGTATTAGTCTGTCTGACCATTGGTAAACCACATTTTCTCCAACATGTAAATGATGATTAAGCATCTTAATTGCCACCTTTGGGCCTGTGGAAATGATTAAAGCATCTTTTTACCAATTTTATATGTTCGTTGAAAATTGACAAATTAACTCATTATTCGAATTTTGAAAAATTAGTGCATTGTTTTTATATTGCAACATCGAGCAAACTATCTCGTCAAAATTGCAAAATACAAGAACCGAAGTGGTGCTTCGCCCTTGTTAGTGGTTAATCGTTGATTTATTCGTAAATAAATTTCATGTGAGAAAATTATAGAAATGATTCCTTAACTTAATTGAAGTCATAATCTCTCAATTAAAATTCATGACCTTTGGCCTCTTAACTCATCAAAATTGCTATGATCAGTTTTGTCAACTTCATTAGAATTCCGTTGGAATGAGTCATGTTAAAAGAATAATTACTACAATTGTATTAAAATTGAGAGATCATTGCTCCAATTGGATTAAAGTTGATGAATCATTTCTCTAATTTGGTTAAAGTTGAGTGACCATTACTACATTTCTCATTTTTCCATATTTCAACCTCACGTGTGCTGCCTGTGAATCATTTTGACGAAAATTTTAACAAAAAAAAAAACGAAAATGACCATAACTGCACTTTTTAATGAGTTAAGGAACCAATGGTTACAAATTTTTAGCTGAGGAACCATTATCCAATTGGGTTAAAGTCAAGGGACATAGAGCAAATGAGTAGTTTCTCTGAATAAGGTGTGTTGTATATATGCACTAATCTCAAGCTTTACATTGAGTTTCCTCAAGTTTCTAGCTAAAATGCTACTTTACAAAATTCAGGTAAAGAATGACTTGATACCCTTGACGCCAATACAAATGAATATCGGTTACAAAAAAGCCAAAGCAGGCAACACAATCATGTTCCTGTGTATCATCCTCAGAAAATTTACCTTCTAATATTAGGACCGACTATTGTGCTCTAAACTCGCCAAATCGATGTTTTTCTTCATGCAACTGCTTAAAAACATAATCCATCTCCGGAAATGTCGACAGAAGCAGCAGCTCCAGAATGTCAAAACCCAGTTGCTTCAAACAAACAGATGACTATGCAAGGAAAAAGAAGTGTTAAAACTGTCTAAATGAATCCAAACATGACAGAAAGGTTGGAAAGAACACGCCAGCGTTGTTTGCTTTGTTTAAAACAATAATTACCTGGAGAAAGTAATAGAGATCCTTGGCACATTTGTCATATTCCTTACTACCAACAAGACCGACAATAGCGGCAGGTGCATGATCTACATTTATAACCAGAAAATTATACTACGCCACCCACATTTCCTTTATGAGACACGAGATGTAATATACTAAGGGCAAGTGCAGAAAATAATTAGAGGGTTTTCAGAACAAAACAATACCAATCATTAGTTCATATACAAACTTTGCGCGTCGATCTGCCTCCTGTTGCTGCTGCTCGTCAAGTCTAGGTGATGAAATTGCAGAAGGCTTCTGACCCTGAGGTGAATTTTGCGATAAGTTGGTAGGTGGTGGTGGTTTTCGCTTTGGATGCTTGGTTATAAATATTCCATCAGGCCACAGTATCTGTTAAAATCAAGTTAACAGTGAATTAACACCAGCATCGAAGTCCTCCATATTAAAAATTATCATCAAAACAAGAACTAACTGAAGCTGCAAACACTTTCAAAAGCTCAGGGCAAAGAGTAAGCAATAGAAGAAAAGAAGAGATCTGACTTGCTGCGATCTCAGACATCGCATCATGGGTTCTTGGAACCAGTCCAGGACAGAAGGTGGACAAACTACAGCCTTGCACCAAAGGTGTCTTGGACTCACAAGAACTTTTAACGTCTTCTACTGTTCACTACTATAAAGTGCACAAGGTACCCTTTTTATAGGGCTCGTACATATATGCAACATCAAAAGACAAACTAACAGTTGAAAGATTCTAAAAGTAAAAACTTGACATGGAACAGGTGACAGAAAAAGATCCAAAGACAATGAGGATAAGGCTCCTAGACTTAAAATACAAGGTTAAATTGCATTACTATAGTTTCCGTTCACCAAACAAAAATTGCATTAACTACACGAAAACTATAGAGACTCAATCATGTGATGCTTGATACCTGGATGGGGTTACTTATATTCTTTGGACTTGGCTCCTGCATCAGTTAGGTTGTTTCATTTTTTCCCTTGCTACTCTTGATAGTAGGGACAATTTAGATTACCACTAGTAATAAGCCTTAAAGAGAACGCAATAAAGATGCATTAGCCTTTAACCTATAGAGAAAGGAACACTAAAGTACATCAACCCAAATCCTGAAGATGCATGAAGAAATATCGCACATGGTAATATTCTGGTTTTGGGATTTTATTTTCGGTTAGAGAGATAAAGAAAAATCAAGAATAATAATAATAATAATAAAAGATGACAATGTGAGGAGGGGATTAGGAAAAATGGATATGGATCATTCTATAAAATCATAAGCAAAAACCATTTGACGTTACGGCTTTAGTTTCATGTATTTTCCCTCATTTCTTCTTCACAACTCTCATACCTCACCTCCCTCTTTTGTCCCATATATTTTGCCCTCTATCTCATTAACTTAAAAATAACTAAAAACTGAAAACACAAACTTATCACATGGGCCCTTATTGAATCATAAATAATTAAAAATCAGCTTGTTACGGGTCCTTTTAGTAACACTTTTAAATTTAAAAAAAAAAACATAGAAGAAAAAGGAAAAACAAAGACAAGGTGAATGAGGAAGAAAGGTGTAAATACATATACAGTGGTTTGTAAAATAAAACTCAAAATAGTTTTAAATAATTTTCCACTTTTAGTTTTATGTACTATGCTTGTTTTCTTATTCATCTTTCTCACCTCACCTCTCCTCTTTATTTTTCCCTTCCTCAATATCTTTCCCCTCTCTTTCTTTAACTGAATATAAAAAGCAAGAATGTTATTGATAGAACCCTCGAGATTTCATGTGAGCCTAAATAATCAGTTAGCATCGTATATTCAGCAAATCTTATCTCACTCCTAAAGCAAGTGACAAATTATGCAAAGTTGGCCATGCAACAAATGCTGTCACCAATTGCTTTCCCTTTGAACTATGTAGGTCCTAAGAAAAAAATTTTAACGGTCACCATGAGAATAACTGCAAACTGAATAAAGTCATAATATGCAAAAATATTGTAAACCATCCAAAGCACCAAATTTCAAAGACTCAATCTATCAAACATACAAGATGAAGAAATTAGAGTGAATTTAATAGAACTCTGATGTGAGCTTTCGATACTCATTGACACCTGCGAAGCAAATGGCATCAAAAAGTACCTGCTCAACACGCTTGATCCCAGAAGCAACCACCAATCCCTTGCGCAGAAGCTGTATTTTCTCTATTAACCAGTCATCGAAGGCATCACCCATCCCTAGCTGTAGTATTTGTTTGGCCACCCAAAAAGCTTTCCGCCTATCATTTCATAAGATAGAAATGATATTACCATTCAACTTGTCCAATTAATACCATAATAAGACAAGAGGGCATGATTCTGAAACCATATACACAAAATACCTGATCCATCCACCATCTTGGAGCTGAAAAATGACATCTACCAAATCTAATATGGGAGCACTTAAATTTGGAGGTACCCACTACATCCAAAAAGACACATCTTATCATGACTCAGTAGAATTATTCTAAAAGTACAGCTACATATGGGAGTAAAGGAAAACATAATAAAACAAATAGCACTTAAAGTTTTACCTCTGTAGGAAGTGTAGGGTCTCTATCAGCATCAAGAAACAATTCAGATTCTTGTTCCTCTCTTCCTTTTATGGTCTTACCCAAGTTTGTGACAGAAGATAAATCTTTTTTTGCTCTAGCATTTGAATCGGTGCCAGAATTAATGAGTGACTTTCCAAATTCTTTACTGGGACTTTTTACCTGAGAATCAGAAACTTTTGTGTTCACTCTTAACCCATCTGCCACAGCGTTGTTCTTCAGTTGTAAAGCAGAACCCTTAACTCCAGTACCCTGTTCCCTCTTCAAGGAATACAGATCAGTCACCGGCCCACCAAAATTTGAAACCTTTTTGCTTTTTCAGATGGCTTCTCATCTAGGTCAACTAGAAAATTCCCAAATGAATAAGGAATATCAGAGTCAAAAAGAATGAGGAAACAAGACTAATGAATTCAAAATTATGCATGTAACTGATTTACCTGACAGTGTTTCGATTATAGAAAAGGAATTTGTAAATAGATAAGTCTGCATTTGAAAGATAAAACAGGGTAAGCTTTTCTCATAACTTTTCAAAGATCAACTGCCTCACCTGTTATCAAAATCAGTAAGAGATTACTGAACCTGGGAGTCAACACTTAGAAAGTCCCAAACTTCAATGGATCCTGAAACTCTTGGAAGCTGCATAAGTTTCTGAAAACAACAGATGAGAGTTTATGAGCAATTAAAAGCTTAAGGCATGAATATTTTTATCCAGAGCAAAAATTGTTAAATAGAGTGGAATTATTCCACATAATTTAGTTGCCTTAAACTCTCATATTTAACGGTCATGTTTAAAGCTCCAAGCCGGATTGAACGTTTTGATTCCATCCGCAATCAGTCTTAAAATTCCAAAATGAAACTCAAAATCTGAATTCCAAACACCCTCGATCTGAGTACTTCAAACATTCTTCATGTGTAACATGTTTACTCTACATGTCTTAATTTCATGTGCATGTTTTAACAACTTTTATACACCCGATCATCCCTGATTTTAATTACTGAGAAGTGCAGGGATTCTTTCTATCTCGTCCAATTCTCAATTTCTCAACTTTGTGCCTGCCTGTGTTTGAGTTTCTATTCTTCTAATGGCTTTTTTTTCCAGTAATTAGGATGAATTAATGTTTTGGCTACTTACCAGTCCTTTCTCTCACTATCTTGCGTGAATTACATCACTTTCTCTAGTCTACAATTATGAGTCGTATTTTTTGTTATAATTGAGTTGTTTTTTTTCCATTTTGTAATAATTTTGTTTTAGTACTGTTGAGAATTGTTTAATGTCTTTGTCAAAGTGGTTTCAACTTACAACAATTCCACGAATTTTCCATAGAGTTTTCATACATTCCAACACTCCCAGAAAAAAAAAAAAAAAAAAAAAATATCATGATCCTAAAGAATTTTCCAAAATTCTGGAAATGGAATGTTAACTTTGAAATTGGAATTTAAATGTCTTTTGAAATTCCAAAACTTCTGGGAATTATACTTCCCCAAAAGCTTCTATGTTGATCCTACCATCCAGAACCCAAATTAATGTTCCAATCACTAAATACTCACGTATATGTGCACGTTCTCAATCCACTCAACGTACAGCTGAATGCGTTTTAATCAGCCAAAGGTGACCTAGAAGTTCGGGGCCAAGCACCAAAAGAACATTGACAACAAAATAGGAATATAGAGGGGCCAGAGAGAATCTTAATTAGAGTAGGGTTGGATATCCAAATTTTAATTAACATTCAAATAATTTATGAAAAGCAATAATGAGCAAGAAGAGTGGGATTGAGCTGTTAACCTTTACATACTGGTCAAGTGATTTACATCGTTCTTGAATGACAGCTAAATCCAAACCAGTTGAAAGAAAATGCTTTGGTGGCAAGTGTAGGTTGTACTCGGGAAACTCTTTTAGACGCCGATGTAGCTCCTCAAAATGACGAAACCTGTAGGGAGAAACACAATAATGATGAGTTACCAAGGCAAAGATACAAGGGAGAAGTATACATTATCTTCTTCTAACATTATAAAAAAATTAGAGAAAAATCTTAGCACCTTCTTTTGATTGACCAACTATTATTATTTACATCCGTAACAGCTATGGAGTAAACGGCAAATGTTTTTGAGTCACTCTTCACAATATTTGCACCCAATACCTGCAACCAAAAACGGGTTAAATTTTTTATTTTTATGTTTTATTTATCAACATTCAGCCTGCAGACAAGCCAAAGTATTAAGATTTAAGTAAGTACCTCACAATTCAACTTGAAAAAAGAATCCACTACTGTAGAATTTTTCAGGGAATTAAAATTCAGGCTATGACCATCCGCGAAAGGTAAAGTTGCAGATGAAGAAGTGGCTGCCCCACTGTTAATTCTACCCAAACTTTCAATGTCAGAATCATCGCTAGAGTCAATATTTGCATCTCGATTTGGAGAATTAAGTATGTCCTGTCCATCTCCAGACAAGAAGCTTGTTCTCTCTACCTCTTGCCAAACCGGCACTTTCTTGTTGCTTGGTCTAGATCTTTTGTGGAAAGACTGGGTTTTAGACAATCTGTTAAGGTGAAGATTCCCTTTAACAGTCCGTTTCCTGATATGGCGTCCAGAATTTTCAAGTGGGTGATGAATGTGAGACATTGCCATATTTCTATTACTTCTACCATCCCAAACTTTAGTTCCAGGAGAATCAAGACCTGTAACACTGTCTGTTTCTTCACCTTCAGAAGTATAAGAAGTACTGCTTCCTGCATCAAACTCGTCCAACCGCATGTGGTCGTCTTCATCATCATCCTGATATGAAGAACCTCGATAGCGATTCGGTATGTTTTGATCTCCAGGGCGGAAATTGTTTTGACAAGTGCCTCTGTCAGAAAGATTGAACTTCGAAACATTTTCCTTATCTTTGGGCCTAGATTTTTCTATAAAATGATCTACTGTAACTGACTTCCCACCAGAAGAATGCTCAATTATTTCACCTTCCTTCTTTCTGAAATTTCTCCCTTTTGCCCACATGTTTTCAAAATTTTCAGGAGCAAGGGCTTCAGTCTTTCTGCGAGACATCAGATCTAACATATCTCCCCATTCTCCTCTGATTGGTTATGTTCTATAACTCTTTCATTGCTAGTGAGGGAGTTCATTCGCAATGTGCTCCACGAACGGGAAGATTGAGTATCAACCGAGAGCAATGGATCTTTTGATCCATTTACATTTTCTGTTGCAGGTGTCTCCGTAGCAGTTCTGGACTGGCCATTTTTGAGTTGCACAAGTTCAACACCAGTAACAGAAGGATCTAAGAACCTAGAAAAGTGATCAGATGATATTTTTGAGGGCCCCTCTTGTTTGGATCGAGATGCCTCTTGTTCCACAGTAACACCTTTAGCCTCGGTCATTTTAATGACCAACAATTCAATTCTTTCATTAATAAACCTATCACCAAAAAGTTGAGAGTTAATGACAGCAGTTTGTAAATAAAAATAACTCAAACGAAACCAATGAATACCTGGGACTAGCCAAGTTTAGGACAGGTCGCATTACTGCACAAGCAAGTAGTTCTCTGATAATATAACGGAATAGAGCACATTGCAGATCTTCAGGCCTGAGCGAGAAAGAAATGAGGCCATCCATCAGATGCTGCAAAACCTGCAGATGAATAGTAAAGAAAACATGGTCATCACAATTGAGAAAGCAGATTATACACGACCATACCTCAGTCCTTCAGGTCAAATTTACAGATTGACAAAGCAAAGTATCAGAGAGAAAGAAAATAAAAATAAAAATAATAAAATAAAATAACCTTGTGCTCAGCTTCTGCAGAAAATAAAGCAGGGTGCAATTTGTTTTCAGCAGCCAAGATGAGTCTTATTTCCATATCTCGTTTTTCAACTGTAAGGAATCCCGAATGTTGCTTTTGAACCTTTGCTTGAGCTACGCGGAAAAGCTCCAAGTGAGAGCATATGAGATTAATAAGATCCCTGCACCATCATATAAACATTAGATCTTCAGTAACCATTTAGTTAGTCTTATATAGCACCCCGTTGTACATGGTTAATAAAAAGAACCTTGTGAGAAGATCAATTAGATTTATATTCCTCATGCGTGCTGAAATTTCCCCAAGAACACCATTCACAATGCACGCCATTTCTTCTGGACCTTGTCTATCCGGTGTTAGACGAGAATACCAGAGATCGGTCACAAACTCAGAAACTAGATGCCGGGTGAAGTGATCAATAGCTTCTTCGACAACAGGAGAATTAACTTTCCTTCTCCACTCAGACTTTTGACTAGTTTTAGGCCACTGAATAGGTTTGTTTTGAGAAGTAGTATTTGCCGAGGGAGGCTTGCTGTTGTATGCTGCAGCTTTTCTTCGCATGTCATAATCTAGTGACAAATAACGAACGATGACAATCAACGAGGCAGCAGCAGGCAAGTTCACCCAGACAGAGGAGCTTGTCACTGAAATTAAAATAACAATAAGCCACACCTCAAGTAATCAAAATGCTGGCTTCTAACACAAGTAATCAAAATTTCAAAGCATGCCCTTAAACAGTCGGACAATATGAAGCTAAAGCATGCAATCTACAACTATAATGAACCAGAACCGAAGATTTCCGGTACCGATAATGTAACCTCCAACCGAAAAAACAGGATAAATCATTAAATGGGTAATACTGGGAGATGAATAGAATTAACTAATTAGCTCAAGAAATGGAACAAGGAAAAGGCGATCACTTTCTTATTCGAATTGAAGTTTCTTTTTGTACTCATAACATTTCCCACAAAATTAAAAGGAGGAGCAAGAAATTAGATTCCTTGCAATGCACATTCACACAGTAATCATCACACCGACAGCAATTCAACAATACAAATCAATCCAAATTTGATCAGAAATGAAATTAAATCAAAAGCCAAATACCAAAATTTGAAAATCCCCAACAAAAGAAAAAAGTAACCCCAAAGAAGAAGAGCTTACAGGACATAAGGTACGACAAGCCAACGACGCAAATGGCGAGAAAGACAATCCGCTTCTTGGCTTCCTCAACGAGGTCCCGGACGGCCACCTGCTGCCTCTGTGTGCTCATTTCCAACCAAACCCCGAATACACAAAACCAATCCCGCGATTAACCAATCCTGGTCCGGCGGATCACACCGAAAATCGTCTCCAACGCCCAGAACGAATCGAATCGAGCGAACTGCATAGCGACGACGCCGTGATCGATGAGTGAGGAATTGTTGTCTGTTTAGTTGCAAGGAAAACGAGAGGATTGGGGTAAGGCGGTGCTTGGGTTCAACGCGAGGACCGTTAGGTATGGATGTTCGCCGTTTGCTTCTGCCGCTTCTGCTTGCGTGGGTTTTTTTTTTTTTTTTTATCTCGTGTTTGTGTCACATTCTGCTGTTTGGTTTGATGTATATCGGAGTCTGAGAGAAGAAGATGTGTGTTTGGATTTCTGGGCTTTGGAAATTCAACTGCCACGACACGCCACTGTTGTCAATTTCCGATTTCTTGAGGGGGTGGGTCAAAACATAAATGGAAATTGCATTTTTATTTTTGGCTAACCATTTTTTTTTTATTTTTTTTAAAGAAAAAGAGAAGCAATAAGAAAATGAACTTCCTACAAGTCTACAACTAATACATTAGATTAGAATAATGCAGATGCCAATTGTTGTTAAATTTTATGTGTTCTTTACCTAAAGTATTTGCAGTTTGAGGACAAACTGTAGGGGACAATTTTAATTAGATTTTAACTCTCCAAATAAACAATAATGGGATGCACATGTATTAGAGAGTTTATGTGACGACATGTCCCTATTTTGTATATAATTTCTCCATGAGTGTGTAAAGTGGCTATTATGTCTGGTCAACTAAGTGACGTGGATATATATATATATATGCAATTTTTAAATTATTTTCTCGCTGTCTTAATTAAACTGGCCTCGACGTCACGAGTGCGTCATCGTGACGTACCTATCCTTATTCACCAATTATTTTAGTTCCTATTTTCCCTAGTCCAATCAGATTATATCTCTCTCCTTTGCCCAATCAGGTACTCTCTCTTTCTCCTTCTCGCACCTTATTCTTCCTTCTTGCACCCGAGACACCTACACCTTTGAACGTACACCAAATCTTCATAGATCAAGTTGGAAATCACCACCATCACACTCCTCTCGACCTCACGAACACAGTCATACCATTCGATCATCGAACGGACAAGTTTTAACTCTCCAACTCGGAAGCTCCAACTTGGTGGAGTTGGTATCGTCATGATCTTGGCGAGATTACAAGGTTTTAGGACGTGAGGGAACATCTACTCAACTTCATAGGGACCTTAGACTAAGCTTGGGAAGGAGTGAACGTCGGATCACGCGAGTTTGAAAAGTTCCAGTTTTGGCCATAACTTTCATGGGATTCTCAGGCCATTTTCCATTTGATTTTGGATGCTTAAGAGGTACGAACTTGTTATACTCCTTAAGAGCTTCAAATCCATATAAATTTCATGAATTTTGGTTGAGAAATGAGCTAGATATTAAGATTTGAAAAATTTCCCAAAATCTGGCGAAAATTTCCAGTCTCCGGCGAACCAGACGGCAAACAGCAAAGCTCACCAAAGAAGACAAGGTATAGTCCGTCAAAGTTGACGAAATATTCCAAAGAAGACGTCGATTCTAACGGAATATTCCTAACATCCGTTAGGGTTTCCATCGCGCATGCAGTGCACATGCTTGCACATGGCCGAGCATATGGCGGTGGGTTGGACGACACGTGAGGGCGTGTCCGGCCTCCAGCCGGTGAGTGGTTTTTACGTGCGGGTCTGTGACTTCGAGTAGAACATTTTCGTATATTTAAACCTTCTGTTTGAGCAAACTATGAGAAGTTATTCCTAGATTCTTGTGTATGTGCTATTTAATTAACTAAAAATAGTTGTTTCACATATAGGGGAGACTTACCCTGAGGACGAGCGCAGACAAGTGAGGCTAGGGGCTACGATCCTTCGACATATCAGTGAGTGAGCATTTGTTATACACACACACACACACACACACACTTTATGGTTTCCAAAAATGTTTTAAAGTGAATATTGCATTTCATGCCATGTCTAGAAAATGTTATATTAATAAATGTTGCATTGTTATGAATTGTGTTTATGCTAAATGATCTTACAGAGGCACATGTAAGTTCAGGTGAGTTATTATGTGATTGAAATGATTGTATTGATTGAGCATGCATATATTCATTTAGAGCTCATCATTGCTGCACCCCGGTGTTAGTGCTCCAGCCCCGGGCCAAGGCACAGTCCTTCATGTAATGTTCACCTCTCGCACCGCACGCTCGCCTTGGATCCAAGTTTGGTGCCAGCCTTGTTGTACATACTACATTATGCAATTCTGACTCGTAGGTGACCCGCGATTTATAGCTAGCCATCACATGATCGTAGCACTATAACGTACATATTTACACCCAACTTTGTCGTACAGGTCACACTAGTTGACTCCGACTCGTGTGTAAGCATAGATTGATGAGCAATAGGTCTAGTCGTACAGGTCACATTAGGTGACTCCGACTGGCATGCTAGTTTAGATTGATTTCACACTTGGCTTACATTTATTATCACTGAGATATTGTGGTATGGCATGCTTCTATTTACAATGCACTCATGCATTCATTTTTGCACCAACGTAGTATTATTTTTTGAAAACTATACAGGTTTTACAGAGAGGGTTTATTATTTTTAGAAAAGATAAATGTGTTTTCTAAAGTTTTGTTTCTGCCCACTCACCCTTCTGTTTTTTGCCCCTCCGGGTTCTAGATAGTTGTTCCCTTTTGTGGCACATGAGGACTAATCAGTGGTTCTGACACTCCATCAAATAATGTAGGGATATTTTCTCTATGGTTGTGTATTTAGTACCTGTTCAATTCGTTTGCAACTTTATATTACTTATGCTCAGGATGTTTGTATTTTGGGTTTGACCACTTCCGCATGCTTACTTATCTCTAGCTTAAATAAGTTTTAGTTGGTTTTAATTTGTCCGCATTTTAATTACTTATTTTGCACTCTTGGCTACGTCACTATCACGTGACAGGCTAGCACACCTCGACTCCAGTCAGGGTGTGTCAGTTTATCAGCAAAACATGTTGTTTTGTGTGTTCAAATAACATCCCTTCTTATTTAGAATTTGAGTTTTAAACTTGTGGTGAGAATTAGTACTAAGAAGAAATGAGAATATTAAAAGGAACAATATTAGACCAAAAACTATTTTCGATCCCTTAAATTAGATATTCGAAGTTTGTTGAAGATAAAAGTGAACAAAGCTAATTGGTGAAATGGGAATAACTTTAGAAGAATAATTTTTTTATTATAATTTTTTACTATTCTAAGTTACATTAAGAGAGTGCTTGAACCTTAGATTTAAAAAAACCACATCCATCAATTGTTTTGGAGTGCAAGTAGATTAAACGGAGGGGTCAAGTTAGAAAGTTAGTTCACGGGGTCACAACAGATGCAAGACTCTATACTCATTGCATTCCAACAGTAATGTGCGTAGCACCAAAAACAAATTTCAATTTTTTTTTTTTGGTGAGGCATTTCGTTGAGCATTTAAGCGTTGTATTTTTAGCGTACGTCCCTCCCTTTAATGCTTTTTTATTTGTATCTATAAGTCAAATATGTATAGAGCCGAGAGGAGGAAGAGTTAAAGAGCCTTTTATTATTTTAACTAAAAATGATTAATTTTAAACTTTTTCCAAAAACAGTGCCATGAGTAGCCATAACCAACTATGAAATTTGTGTCTTGGTGATCTTGGACAAGGATCGAATGATAGAGTTACTGAAGAGATGTTGTTGTTCAGGTTTTGGTGGTAATTTTGTCAAATTACTTACAAATATTGAAAGGGGGCACGTGCCCCCCTTCCCTTCATTTGATTCACCACTAACTAGACGAATTTAGAGTATATTAAGAATGAATATCATTATTCATAAGGAAAAAAAAATATGAACATTTGTGTAACATATCAATTAGCTATTAGTATAGTGACATTTGTGTTTTTAATGATAAAAGAGATATAAGTCCAACTCTTCCCACCCTTTGAAAAAAAGAGAATATTATCTATACTATTATTAAGAAAACTCTCCTTGACAACTTTTTTTTCCTATTTTGCCCTCACTTTTGATACACATTATTGACAAAAGGAGGGCAAAATAGTAATTTTGTACCTTTTGACAAAATGACAACTCATACAACAACAACAACAACAAAAAAGTCTTTTGCCCCTAAGTAGGGTCAGTTGTATGAATCCTAGATAGCGAAAGCGGTCACTCTTTAGTACTTCCTGATCTTTAATCCTCACCCCTAACTCGTTTGAGCCTTCGTTCGCACTAAACTTGCACTCCATATACTTTGCCTTTGACTGATTTAGGTGAAAACCTTTAGATTCCAACACTTCTCTCCAAGGGTTAAGCTTCGCATTTACTCCTTCCTGAGTTTCATCTATCAACACTATATCATTTACGGAAAGCATACACTAAGGAATATCATATTGAATATGTCCGTTAACTCATCCATCGCTAATGCAAAAAGGTAAGGATTTAAAATGAACCTTGATGTAACCCATTTATAGGGAAGCATTTGGTTTGTTCTTCATGAGTTCTTAGTCCTTGCCTTATTATACATATCATTTAAAGCTTGGATATATGCTGCTCTTACTCATTTCTTCTCTAACATTATGTTTGGATAAATAAATTTAAGATTACTAAGGAATTTTAGAATGACGGAAATTGAAATAATGAGATTTTATTTTTTAGAATTTGTAAATTTTCTTGTTTGGTTAACCTAAAAAGAACAATGAAATTGGATACATAATTTGTTATTTTTAAACTCTCAATCATAGAAATTGGAAAATGACACCTATTTACATGGAATTTAAATTTGGAAATTTGAAATCCCAAATTTCAAGTTTCTTTTCCACGCGGAAATTCTAAATTTCTATGTTTATGAATCCAAACAAATGAATTGATACATGTTAATTTATAAATTTATATTTTTATTCAAATTTCAAATTTATTTCCCTCATTCAAACATAGTATAAAACTATCCAAAGAATAATACCATGACAACTCATCAACAATAATAATACAACTTACAAGCAAATTAGTCCAAGTTTTGTTTGTTTTAATTAAATGTATTTTTCTGACCAAACTTCAAGGGCTAATACCCTTTCGATCAATCCGACAATCCCTAATCATTTTTGTCTGCTTCTTAATCTCTTTTACAATTCTACAGAGGATTAAGTGGTTGTTGTTCCATTATATACGGTTAGGCACTTTATTTATAATACTTTTATTTAATCAGGATTTTAAGTGATTCTCTGAAATTCAATGTGTATTTAATCAGGATTTTAAGATAATTTATTAAAATCTTTAGAAATCAAGGTGTATTCAATTAGAATTTTAAAGAAATTTAAAACATTCCAGGTGTATTTAATTAGAATTAGAATTTAGAGAGTTTGGAAAAGTTGAGGAATTATAGGGAATTGGAGAGATTTTGTAGTGT